ATCTTTATTCAATAATGTGAATGTAGTGTTTTTAATTCTTTGGAAGAAGGGTTCCACATAAATTAATTACTTAGACTATCCATTTCTAAAGAAACTCCTAAAATTCCTAATAAATTGAATGTAAATGAATGCAGACAGGCAGGATTCCATTTAGCAGCATAAAGAGCTGGAATGAAATGCAGGAAAGAACACACAAGTCAAAGACATATGTACTGAAGACAAGGGAGAAAAATATGAAACCAAGAATAAGCACAGACTTTTTAAGACCTTCTTCACAGAAAGCTGATTTGCAGGACAAGTGTACTTGAAAATATCAACCAGTTATCCATAGTCCTAATGAAAATTGATTAACTAAAATGTTAGAGAGTTTTAATTTAAAACCAGGAAAAAATATACAATACAGAGGAGAATAAATTACGAAGTCTTATAATTAATCTAAGTAGCCCTGGTGGCACAATGGTTAAGCGCTCAGCTGCTAACCCAAAGGTGGGCAGTTTAAACTCACCAGCCGCTCCGCAGGAAAAAGATGTGGCAATCTACTTCCATAATACTCTGGTGTTAACGCTATTAATACAATAACAGTTTTTTTTTTTTTTTAAAGCGTAGTTTTACTATACAACTAATTTCTCACTAAAAAACTTTAGGAAAATATCTGTTTTTCAGCAGCATATTTTACTGACAAGACATATAGAAACCGCCTAGATCTTCCAACAGAATGCTATCACTTGATTCCATGCTGCGAGATTCCGAAATAGATTTTTTTTTTAAAAAAGTACTTGAAATAAAGCCAAAATCAAACATCACTGGAGAGATTTCTAAGATAAATTCACAAAATATCACATCTGCACTGCTCAGAATCAGTGTGAGACTCTAAATTAGTGTTGTGTTTTGTTTGTTTTTGTATGTTAATTGAATAATGAAGGAATGCAGCATATTAATTATGGTATAAATTTAACAACCAAAATGTTCTTAAGGCAAAAGACATTTTGTCCCTTCTTGCAAGATACAATGAGCAATGGACTGTTCAATGTTTCCCATATAAGTTGGTTGCTATAATACCAAGCTCTTGCTAACAGACTCTCTAAATGTGTTGTGTTTGTAGCTCAAGGCTTTCAGGCAGCCCAGATGATTAACTTCAAAGTTGAAAGTACTGATGGATGTCTAACTAAAACAAGGCTATCTCAGTAATTGCTTACAACCATCTAACCCTTGGAACCTGCTTTCTGGCATTATGTAGACCAAACCATAAATTAACACACAATTTGTTTGTGTAACTATTTCATAACTACATAGAAAATTAAGTGAAAAATTGGATTTGGAATCTATTTCTAATATATTAAATCAATAGGATTGTATAGAGTTCTTAGTACTGTGCCAGGATTCATGGAGGCAAAGTGCAGGGCAGAAACCAGGGCTTTGAACCGATTTGAACCCGTTCAGTCATGGCCAACGAAGCAAAACCGAACAGACCCGAATTTTTTAAAAATTTGGGTGATGTGGAACCAGAACCAGAACAGGAAAAATTACAAAGCCCTGGAATGGGAGACTCAGAAGAGACATAACGAGCCCTTTCAGGAGCCTGATGCGTGAGATTAGATTACTGCCAGGAGTGAGGTGACACACATTCAACGCGGCAAGGTAGTCCACCATCTTTGAGGGGGCTCCCCTGTTTCCTACTCTGTGCAAAATTCCCTGGGGCAAGAGACTTGGTTGCTATGCAACTCATACACTGCCTTGTTTTCTAAGAGGGAGGCTTAAGTTTCTAGCAGGGCTTCGACCTGTCATTTTTTTCCCATTCCGGTCATGGTTCCAGATCACCCAAATTTTAAAAATTCAGGTCTGTTTCAGTGTCGCTTCCTCAGCCACGATTGAACTGGGAAGAACTGGTTTGAAGCCCTAGGAAAAACATACAGCATAATCCTACCCATAAAATGTTTATATTCCACATCAAACCAAATGCTTAATGATTCCAAAATATACTTCCATAAAGATATAGTCAGTCAACTAAGAGTCAGCTTATCGAACTGTTTCTTCTTATAGTTTTCTTTTTCCTTATTTCAAAGAAAATTTGACAGAATCTTCAGCGGTGAGGAAGCATGCATTTTTTGTGTGGATTTAATATATTTGAACTATTCCTCTAAGCGTTCTTGGCAATTAAAGTGTTAAAATTTTAAACATAGCTTGATTTCTATATTTACAAACACACGTCTTTGCCCACATGTTCAATTTTTATTATATGACATTTAATTTTATTAATCATATTTTCAATATATTTTAGGTAATCATTAGTTTTGGATCCAAAGTAGCCAGAATATTAGACAAATTCCTGAGATGTAAGGCATAAAACAGGTTCCCAAATTTCTGGCTGAATAAGTAGGATTAAAAAGTAGTAATTTAAAAAATGGCTTGGACATTCATATTTTGATGAAAATTTATTTTCACAAGTCAATCCTAACATTTGAGCTTCATATAATTTTTCCAACCCCCCCCCCAAAAAAAATAAACCCATTGCTATTAAGTCAAATCCAACTCATGGTGACCTCCTATGTTACAGAGTAAAATAGCTCCATAGAGTTTTCTTGGCTAGAATCTTTATGGATGCAGATATCAGGTCACCAGGCCTTTCTTCCATGGCACCACTAGGTGGGTTCAAACCAACCTTTAGGTTAGCAGTCAAGTGGGAACCATTTTCACCACCCAGGGACCTAATTTTTCCAAAGTTATCCATAATTCGATCATTACTGCCCCATATACAAATATTTGGAAATCTTTTAAAAAATAAAACATGCTCCCACTTATTTACTTTGAGCTTGCTGTGAGTTACTGTTTAACTCATTTGTTTAACCCAGCAAATTAACAGTTACAAACACTCTTGTTATGATATTCAATTGACAGTCTGATCCTGCCACAACTATTCTTATGCTTTACTTTTTAAAAGAGTGATTTATTTTGGCTCATTTTTTTAAAAAAAACCTAATTTCCTTAAGTTTTCCTTATAGTGAAACTTCTACAAAACGTCATGGTTATCATATCAAAAGAGGGTACTTAATCTCATATATCAGTGACTACTTTCAGGTAGGTAAGCAATGCAAGTAAAATCCATGTATGATAGAGACAATGCCCTAAATGTAAACCGAGTCACAGATGTGATATTTAACTCTGTAATAAACTGCCCTCTAATCACATGGGTTTCTCGCAGACTTTTCTCTCAAGACGTGTAGAATGCATGAGGAACAAGTAACGTCTGTTAACTTAGTTTTCAGAAAAGCTTCCTTCCATCCAAGGAAGTGACTGATTTTTCATTTCACACTAAAAAGGGCATGAAAAGGCAAAACAGAAGAAGGCTGTGGGTTGTGTGTTATAAGACAGGTGAGTCCTGCTTAAACAGACAGGAAATATACCATAGATATTCAGAGGGAGAGTCAAATTGGAAACAGCTGAGAATGCTATCAAACTAGGAAAGACATTTATGCTAATGTTGTGGATGTGTTTTCTTTGCATGCAGTGGACTTATTTACTATTAAATTACTAAGACAATGTCACTCAAGTGGTAACATCACCTTAGAACTGTAAAAAGGTAATGTGATGAAAAGATGTCAAAGAGTTCATTTAAACCCTTTCTGTTATCAAAATTTTGCCCTTGTTCTCTTAGTCACCAGATATATATCCCCACTTCCCACTGTCATCCACCTAATTTTATCTCTTTTTGTATGTATATATTGCTTTCTTCCCTAGTCATTAAAATATATGCAAATAATCCAATACGTAGGAGAGAATAAAGGGCATTAAATGGAAATAATATACAGAACACGATAAATCCTTAGAAAGAGATATAAGGTAAAAACTGAAATTCCACAGATTGTAAATAAGATTTGTGTTCATTCTTTCAATGATCCTTCAGAACAGTTATTTTCCCTCAGAATTTTGCTAGCAGTTTGTTATAATCTGGATTATTTTTTAACAGATGTGTGGAAAATTGGTAGCTATTTATATACTGCAGTGAATAAAGCTCCATTACATTTCACCTACTTTATTTGTGATTATTCTTCCTTTGTATGCGGATATGAGATTTCCCCAAAGCCAGAATTTATGGCTGTCTTTCTTTCTGTCCCCTGACAAATCCCATCTGCATGCCTTCCCATTAGGATATAGTATACATCATGAGAGCCCTGGTGGCGTAGTGGTTAAAATACTCGGCTGCTAACCGAAAGGTCAGTAGTTCAAACATACCAGCCACTCTATGGAAAGATGACATGGCAGTCTGCTTCCATAAAGATCACAGCCTTGGAAACCCTATGGGACAGTTCTACTCTGTCCTATCGGGCTGCTATGAGTCAGAATTGACTCGGTGGCAATGGCTTTATATATCACGATGGTTCCCTTATCTTCTTAAAATACTTTCCCATATCTTGCTAAAATATTTATCAAGCATTGTATCTAGTACATATATTCTAAAAACATAACTGAGCACCAACTTACCCTTGTGAATACGTTACTCCGAACAAGTCATAAGGAATCCTGGGAGGAGTATTTATGCCCTTGAGTAAATCACTGTTGCAGTACACTAAATGTAACCCCTGTGGGCTCCAAGAGTGAATGGCTGTGGATGTTTCTGTTGATAATATGAGCTATCTGAATTCATGTCTTCCCTCCAATTCTTACCACAGGTCGCCAGTTGTAGAATGGAATGACATATCTGTTCATAAGAACACAGAACAATGCATGGTAAACTCCATGCTTAACGGCTATGCAAGAGAAATAATCACCTTATTACAATATTAAATTTGATGCTTGCTTAGCTCAATTATTTACATGACATAATAAATTCAAAAACTCAAAACATAAAAACATTTACAAATGCAAAGCCCCTATTTTGAGTATAATTCTTATACTTTGCAGTTGCAAGTTTAGCTCTTGGAAAACCAGTTCAGATGAATTATTTGCCCTTACTAGCCCATATTCACCATATATAATCTTATTCAGATTATTGTTCTTGTGCCTTAGCAAAACTCCATGGAAAGCATTTATGAGTTAGTATAAGGGAGGTACAAAACAGAAGACAGTATATTTGTTGGCAAAGAATACTTTAAATTAAATAGAAAACTACGTGGCCACAGCTCTAGGAAGCTCATCCAAGTCCCTGTGATGTCTTCTATTTCTCTTCTTCTTCATTTCATGCATGTGCTTCCACTTTGGGCCGCCCTTGTTTCGCTGTCTCCGCTTCTCCCTGTGCCACATCTGTTCGCAGTACTGGTCAAGGCTGAAGTTTGGGCTGCTAAGGATTTGGATGTAGTCTTTGTATCTCAACCGTGACTCAGCCAACAGATCCTTGACCTGCCCCTCCTCGTGCTCTGCCCTCTGGGTATTTTCCATCTGTTCATTCTCAATGACATTCAAAGTCAGCTTCACTATGGTGTGGATGAAAGTGTGCTCCTGTGCTTTGCAGTAATACATCCCAGAGTCCTTCTTCTGCAAACTGCGAATCAGTAGCCCGTATTCGGTTTTGATGAGCCTTTCATCGGGTTTCAACTGCAGAATTGGAAAAATGTAGGCAATAAATTAAAAGCAGAGAGGGCTATGAGCAAATGAAAACATGCAACATAGTTTTATTTAGACGAACCTTAAAGACATATTCTCCATCTCTCTGTCATCGAGCATAATATTGTCAGCGATAGCCAAAGAGGATGAGAAAATTCAACTAAAGTAACAGCCCCCAAACCATAACCTGAATTATTCACATGTGATTTTATTAAGTCTAACTAAACCTTTGGAATAATGTTAGTGCTTCTACTACTCTACAGATAGGAATGAAAAGCTGTGAAAATCAATAACTGGAAACTATTAACTGACTTTTTTTACAGAAAATTCAGATACTAATTGGTGTATTAGGAAGACAAGTTGATATCTGAATTTGAGAGCTAGATTGTAACATTAATAGCCATTGTGTGGGAAAAAAAGTTTTAGTGCATGCTGCCATCTGTAATATAGACTAGAACAACCATTTCAAACCACTACACCAACAGGGTTTCCATTCAGTTTGTAGATATCACTAAATAAATGATCCAAATAGCATATGGAAGCTGTAACCAGTGACTTGTTAAAAGTCAAGTGGAAAGGCATGGGCACAGCCTTTTGAATGTTAGCGCTGTAAATAAGTAGGACCATAGTTGGAAGGGTAGCAACATTTAAAGCTGAATTTCCCTTTTTACTATGGATTGAATTTTGATACTGTGTGTATATTTGATACTTGAGACTATGTCATGTGTGGAAATATTTGCCATACCTTGGTATATTGTAACATGGTAATGTGATTTCAAGTGTGAGAAAGCACAATGAACAAAAAAGAACCTCCCCTAAAACCTGATGGTCTTTAACTCCTTTGAAACAATATTACTGAAAGACAATTCAAACATTTAAGCTTGCCCGGGCCCACAATCTGGCGTGAATAGTGAATTTATCTTCAGTAAAACTGGAAGCATGTTTACAGACACAAGAGCCCTGTTTAATGTGGAGTATTGCTGAGTGGCTCAGCATTAAGTGGAATAACAACAACAACAAAGACGTCTGGAAGATTTCCCAGTTTACACATCTGCCCCTGTATTGTAGACTTTAAGTCGATGGAAATCAGGGAGGCATAAAAACGGCTAAATTAAATTTATTCACAGTGGGTGGACTCTAACCTGCATCTTTGTGTGAAAAATATGTAGGAAAAAATCCCTCCAATTCTGGAAATATGAGAAAAGGAAAAGAAACATCTTTGGCTACCAGCCCAGTTAACTAACAACTATATGGTGAACCACCCTCTGTGCCAGAGAAGTGCAGCTGGCGGGGTACCACGCGAGGCCAAAGGCAGGTCACAGCTCAGATCCCTGGTTAATGAGGCTGAATGGTCTCCAGTTCTGCCTTTGCTCTGCACTGTATCCACACCATCAGGGTTTTGTTTGTTTGGTTTTTCCCTTACCTTTGCTCATTTGGTGAACTGAATGTACATTACTCCTTTTCTAATGGATTTCTTTCAAAGGCCCAGACATTTTTAAATGCCACTGTAATACAATCTTACCTTGAATTCATTTACATTCCCCAAAACCATAGGAGTTTCATGCTTCATGCTTAAATTAAATTTGAATACATATATATACTCTTTAAATAATTCCATAGTAAGAATTGTTTTTTTTTAAATTTAAGTAAATCTTAGGCCACAGAATATTGGCTCCACAGCCAAGTTCTGATCCTTATCCTCTCTGCTTCCTATGATGACTCATTTATCTTCACCGACTGGTCTCCCATTTATCAAGTTGGTGGCATAGCATATGGTGTATTTGGGGACTTAGAGTAAAGCTCTTTGAAGGTTAAAGTGTAAAGTATTATTAGCAACATAATAGACTATGCCATGTTTTTTGAGAGGTAATGTTCTGAAGCCTTTATTTCTGTAGTTTCCTTAACAGAAAATAGCCTTGGTTATTAGCATGACAATCAAAGTGGGTAACTTCAGTTCCAGTTTGTAGCTAGATTTCCTTTTCATGACTGGTCTTCTTGCTAATTTTTAAACTGAATTTAATGTGGCTTTTAGAGAATATCACAGCTCTCAGTACTTTTTATTGTTCTTTTTAATCTTCTGACAGGAAGAAATTATGGCTTTGATCTCACACATATTGTACAATAGTTCATCATTGTTTTTGCTCTTCTGTGTTTGTATCCTGTTTATGTTGTTTAGAGGTCTGCTTCCCCTCCCTCTCTTCCACTCGAGTTTTGTACTCACAGGACTCCGAGTTTCATAAACACCTGGCATGTCATTACTCAGTCATGGTCCTTCACCTTTTCCTTCTTTCATGAAATGCTTAATTTGTTCTTTCCTTTTTGACCTACAGGTAGAAAACTTGCTTTCATAAATTTCAGGCTTTCCAGATTTACATAATGTCCACTGGAATTGTCTTACTGATGTTTACTCTTTCTAAAATTTCAAAAATATACCCTAATGAAATAGCATCTCTAATCAGACGCATTTTGAACTGATACATTTTCATAGGATTTTGCCAATTTAGAGACAGAAATCTGTGACCTAGAAATTAAGTAGTTGATTAATATTTGCCTGCTTTACTCTCATTCTCTGTAATGCTTTCATTCCAAGCTGGAGTAGGATGCATTATGCAGACTGTATCTCCACAGTGAAATGTCAACAGAGGTAATTTAGAAAATTCAGCTCTTCTACCAAAAGATAATATAATCTCTGTCTACTGATTTAAACTCATGGAATTTTCTCCATTCTAGAAGCGATAAGTAAAACTGCTCAGCTTTACAAATCAAAACCATGCTTGAAACTGGGGTGGACTATCCATTTGCCTAACGTGAACAAGGATAATATGTTTGGTATTATTAAATGTAGATCTTCAGTGAAAGGCAATTCATTTAAAATGAGAAGAGTTATGTAGTAAAGGACAAAGGACAGTTAAGTACTAAGCTGCAGGTAAAGGTCGGGGACTTCCTACTCTGATAATACCAGCCTAATGCTAATTCCTTTACAGATAATTCACCAGTCAGTTTTTTTCTAGCTAAAGCATTGCACGTATCTTGGAAGAAACTAAGGCTTCAAGGATATCACCTTTCTTCCACAAGCATAAGAAATATTACTAGGGAAAAATAGGATTATATAAGGAAGAAGGCTCATCAGTATGAGGGAAAAAAAAGACTAAAACACTTTTAACAATTTCTCTGCACTTATTTAATAGGTGATTAAGAAAAGGAACCACAATGGAATCATCTGCATACATGTTTTTAAATTTCTCGGAGTATACTTATGTAAACCAAAAACCAAACCCGTTGCCGTCCAGTAGATTCCGACTCATAGCGACCCTATAAGACAGAATAGAACCGCCCCATAGGGTTTCCAAGGAGCTTCTGGTGGATTCAAACTGCCAACCTTTTGGTTAGCAGCCAATCTCTTATCCACTGTGCCAGCAGGCAAAGGATTTTATACTTATGTAACACAGTACACGATCTATTTATTAATATACCACAAAACTAGTAATTACTATTTTAAGCAAGCAATAAAAAAGGGAAACTTATTCACCAATAGTGGTGAGACAAGTGGCTTATTATTTAAAGAAAAAATCAAGTTTATACATAAGTAACTACTAGATTAATTTCATATATTTGACTAAATGTAAATATAAAACACAAAGTATAAATGTAAAAATAAAACCGTAAGTATGTATTTGGTAACTATATTCTTGTACGTTTATAAACTATAAGTCCCTAGGTGGCGCAAACAATCTGCACTTGGCTGGTAACCAAAGGGTTGGTGGTCCAAACCCACTCATTGGCACTATGGAAGAAAAGACCTGGCAATCTGCTTCCTTGAAGATTACAACCAAGAAAACACTATAGAGTAGTTCTACTGTGTAACACGTGTGGTCCCCATGAGTTAGAATCGACTGAATAGCACAAGACAACAATAGCATTCTATAAATATATATTTACTCTCTCATTGAAGAAGGAGTTTGTAAGTATAATAATGGAGAAATCATAGAGGTAGAATTCAATACATCTGTCATTATAAAATAGAAAACTTATGTATGTTAGGGACATAAAAAATTAGGAGATGTAAAACTTAAGAAAAAGGTACTTATACACTACATTAAAGTGTTAATATCTATACTATATACGGAGCCCTGGTGGTGCAGTGGTTAAGAGCTTGGCTGCTAACCAAAAGGTCAGTGGTTCAAATCTACCAGCCACTCCTTAGAAACTCTATGGGGCAGTTCTACTCTGTCCTATAGGGTTGCTATGAGTTGGAATCAACCTGATGGCAATGGATTTGGTTTGGTTTTTTTATACTATAAAAAAGGCTTGTAGAAATCATTTTAAAATGAATACATCAATATAAACTAAGCAAATGGCAGGCAAAACAATTCAACAAATACAACTGAATACCAATGGCCTTGGATGGTGCAACCAGTTAACATGTTCAGCTATTAACTGAGAGGTTGGAGGTCTGAGTCTACCCAGAGGTGCCTTGGAAAAACGCCTGGTGACCAATTTCCAAAAAACCAGTCACTGAAAACCCTATGGAGCACAGTCTACTCTGATACACATGGTGTTACCATAAGTCAGAATAGGCTTGACAGCAACTAGTTTTTTGGTTTTACCAATGGCCAAGAAATATGAGGAGGTCAGTTCACATCCACTAATAGTCAAAGAAATAGACATTAAAACAATATGATTTTTTTTTCATGTCAGATTGGTAAAAGTTTTCCTAAATGACAAGACACACTTTTGCCTCAGGAGCCCAGAAAAGGCACTAATTTTGTGATTTTGATGGCAAATTAATAATATACAATTGTTTATCAAAAGCCATAAAAATAATCAAGGCCTTTAACTCTGTTATTTGACTCCTAGGAATTTGTCCTAAGAAAATATTTAGAAAAGTAGAGAAAGACTTAGATATAAGGAAATCATTACTCTTCTTCTTTTTTAAGTGAAAACTTGAATAAAGAGAAACTTAAAGCATGGAACAGCCATGGATGACTGTGGTGTCAAGGGGGGGATGGGGGGCGGAACAGGAAAAACATGGTGTTAAAATTGAATGAGCAGGGAAAATGGTAGAAGTATAACAGTTAGTGAAAATAAAGTTTGAATAGACATCAAAATGTTACTTATGCTTATCTGTGCTTAGTGGCCTCGCAGCTCTTTTTTTATGTGACTGTATTTTCAAACACATTTATATTGCTTTTATGGTAAAAAAAAAAAAAAAAAGAATAAAAATAAAATAAAAACACAAGAATAGAAAAAAATGTAAATATTTGAAGATGTTTTAAAAATTCTAAACACCCACTGAGAAAATAGAGCATGGCAAGTAGCATAAAGTAGTCCCTCTTTTATTCATCCAGATCACAAAAGCTCAACAGAAGCTTGGGGACTGCCAATTAACTCACTAGTTACAGCATAAACATCATCAATTTCAAGGGCAGCTTTATAAGAAAGTCAGTAGATAACTGAATCATGACCTCCCCCAGCAGCACCCAACTGTGAAACAGCTCAGTAAGGAAACGTCCTCCTACTGGCAGAGAATAAGCTGGTGACAGCCGTGGTGCCACGGGAGATCCTGGCCCTCCCTCAGTCTGTTTTTGAGTGGAGGAAAGATTCCACACTGTGACCCCATGGGTAAGGAGCAGAAGGCATCCTGCTGAGAAAAATGCATCAAATCTAGTCTGGATTTTGCCCTTTTTCTAAGCTCAGGAAGCAATATTGCATATCCTGGACAATGTGTAATTGCCTATTTACAACGACAGATGAAAATACCAGTTGAAATACTGTAGTTAAAAGACTTTTAAATAAAATTTAATAAATAGACTATTCCTGCTCCATCAAAATTCATGGAGCATGATACTATCATGATGGTATGATATACTGTTAAAAGGTACATTAAAGTAATGCATAGCATTTTCAGGAAGATGAAAGATGTGAATGCAAACATGGGTAGGCAACTGTGTACATCTATAACTGGAAGATTAGTCCAAGCATAGTACCCACATTTAAAAAAAAAAAAAGATTCAGATTATGCCATGGAGAAAAAATCATTTATTAAAAATTACGTTTAACTGAAAAGCAATTATCAAACTTGATTAGCTATAAAACTAACAATACACTTCAGTGAAATTTAAAAGTAAAATATTGCAATGCAACTAAAAGAAAATCTACATGTTCAAAAATTCAGATAACATCCAATATTTTTTAGATAAAAAGTACTTTGTTTTGAGATTAAGTAATTACTTCTACATCAGGTAATACTTCAATATATATTATACAATTGGGGCCCTTAAAGTCTCAGCGTAACCATGCATTTACTATAGTTTTCAAATTTATGGATGTCAGTTGAGTCGGAATTGACTCCATGGCAACAGATTTTACTTATGATAAAGAATCATGTTTATTGGAGCAATTTGGAATAATAAATAATGAAATTATTGCCTTGGTATTAAATATGTAAAGGGTCAACATTATGATGGAAAAAATTATTCTTATAATATTAGAGGAAAAGAATGATATTAACTGCTTAATGTAATGGTACAACTATATCCTTAAATCAATTTCTCATGATAAACGTTTGGTTCTTCTGCTCCAAGCTTTCTCAACCTTGTCCGCATTGACACTTGGGTCTGGATAATCCTTTGTTGTGAGGAATTGTCCTGTGCATTGTAGGATGTTTAGGGGCACCTCTGGCATCTCTGGCAGCATACCCCCTAAATACCAGTAGCACCTTCTCTTACCCACCCAGCTGTGACAATCAAAAAGACTCAGACATTGCCAAATATCCCCTGGGAGGCCTTAGGTTGAGAACCACTATTTTATACTAATGCTTGACTGATTACAAGTATTATTTTAAATGTTTATAGATTTGTTATAGAAGTTGGTATTTGGGGGAGCATTTGCTCCAGCTACTTATACTGCAGAGAAACTAGATGCTAAATAAGTTACAACATGCCCATGATCCCTTAGCAGTCAAGTCAAAGGTACAACCAGCATTTTCTGAATACAAGATCAGTGCGCCTTCCTGCTCTACACTTTTTCCCTGATAGAGAATATCTGTAATTTTATATGCACATTTTACACTTGTGAGTACCTCTGCTTCCACATTCATATATGTATTTGCTCATTTGATTATTTTCACAGTAACTTATGAGTTTATTTTACCCATCTTAGAAAATCCTAGCCCAGAGAGACTAAGTGATATTGCCAAAGGTCAAAGGACCATGTTGCAACTCAAGACATCTAATTCTGATTTTTATTGTTGTAGTTCTTGATCAGGGAATTGTTCTAAGATATAGGCAATCCATGAGAAGTAAAAATTTGAAAATAAAAATTATGTAAATTAAAAAAAATTCAGTCTGCTTTTAGATGTATTTTATTAATACGTTTGTGTAAATTGGCCTATTTCAAACTCAAAGCCATTGTTACATTGGTATTAATATAAGCTGATAATTTCTTTTTTTAACAAATAATGACAAGAGTTAAAAACTGAACCTCTCTCACAACCAAACCTTGATTTAAGTTTTATATTATTTCTCTCAAGGCAAGTATTCTTTGATGACTATCAGTTACCTCTTCTCGATGTTCATCTCCTGATCGCTGGACATACCACTTAATAGATGCTTGTTGAGATTTAGGTATACATTCCAGAAAGGTTGAATTAAATTCAATGCCAAAAATCACCTTTTCATCAGCAGTTTCATGACTAATGTCTGGAAAGCAAACATGGAATAGGAGATTAACCTTGACCTGATTTTAAAAGCAATAGGAAAATAGACTGATTTAGAACAGATGCCATGAGGGAAAGAATCATACACATTATTAAAGAGAAAGGAAATTCATGCTATAGTATTGTAACTTAAGAGTCAAATATTATTCAATAGATTGACTTTTAAAACTCTATTCCTGCAGTGCAATTTTAACTCCTTCAACAATATATTACCTATCAATTGACTTTTTAAGAATAAAAACTCACAAGATGTAAGTTTAAACACTGAATCTCGTTCTCTGAGCCAAATGAACCTTCTGCATCTTTTAGTGCATTAACACCTTTGCTTATGTATTAAATGTAGCTAGTTTTGTAGATAGTTCTGGAAAAAAAATTATACCTTTTCTTATATATAAAATGTAACTAATTTTGTAGGTAGTTCTGGAAGAAAAACTTCACTTTTAAAGAGAAATTCTACCATGAATTGGTCCACAAATCTTATTTTAGAATATTAAGAAATTTTTATTCAAAAGAGTAAGTACGGTCATCCTCCTTGATGGAATTCTATAATGATGATAATAAACCAAATGCTCTAATGCTTAGTATCTGGACATTATATGTATTATCAACACCAAATTTTCTTTTTATTCTAGAAGGATACTCCAGCTCAACATGCATGTGCTATGAGATAGTTAATGGATGCCAAAGGAGCAGCGGTCTCAGACACCTTATTCTCGTAAATCAGCTGCACCACCTGAAATGCATTCCATCCAGAGTAGCCAAAGGCTGTGTCCCATGTGTGATCTAAGATCTGTTGGTCAAATCTGATCAAATAAAAAATGACGGCTGCTCAGCCTGGCCCAAACATGCACTTTTTCATCATATATTCAGATGTCTCAGTTCTGCAGATGGGCCTACTTAGTATTTTAAGCATAAACCAAAGAGCAGGGCTTAAGGGACATAAGTAAATTCTAAACTTAAGCACACAAAATTATCAGCAAATGACATGAATGCACATATACCATATAGGTTTTTTTTCAAGAAATGCCTTTTGTACTTATTTGTGTTTTAGCAGCAATGATTAAGTCAAGCATGCTGATACTATTATGAATTAGCATCATAACCTTCAAAATGTGTGGATTCCATTTGAAACCTGTAATCTATTCACTATCTCTGCCAATTCAACAGATTATATCTGCAATTTTCACAGTTAATAAATTCCTAATGCACAGAAAGATCACTAATTCCGATCAGAGAAGAAAAAGACACGCATCATTTCCTAATAACAGATGGCAGTTTCCTGAGCAAAGGGAGTTTGTGAACAAAGCAGGAAGGGTGAAGGCTAATTATCAGAGGTTGGGGCAAACGCCCAGGAGAAACTCAGACTGATTCAACCGAGGTATTGGTCAATTCAGGAGACAGTAAATTAGTGAAATCAACTGGATGACCAAAATAGTGAGTTGATTATCTGAAATCCTTTGTTATGTTGGTAAAAGATAGTGGTCCTATGACAAAAAGTCAACACTTCATCAGTTTGTCAACAAATACCTAGAATTTATCCTTGCTTCTAATAATGTTTGTTTCATCTCTGAGTTTTAAATTTTCTACTTTTAAATCTAAAAATATATGTCTGTATATACACATATATGTACATATAAAATATTCTATTATTATCTAACTTTGAATGGTGCAAAAGATGTATTCTATAGTGTTATAAAACAGCAGAATATAGCCTCATTAAGAGTAAAATAATTTTGGCTACCACCAACAACCGCCCTGACAGGGAACACAACAGAGAGTCCCTGACAGAGCAGGAGAAAAGTGAGGTCCAGAACTCTAATTCTAGTAAAAAGACCAGACTTAATGGTTTGACTGAGACTGGAGGGACCCCGGAAGACATGGCCTCCGGACTCTCTGTTGGCTCAGAGCTGAAACCATTCCTGAGGCCAACTCTTCAGACAAAGATTAGACTGGACTATGGGACATAAAGTGATACTCATGAGGAGTGAGCTTCTTAGCTCAAGTAGATACATGAGACTAAGTGGGCAGCTACCGTCCAGATGTGAGATGAGAAGGCACAGAGGGTCAGGAGCTGGTTGAATGGACATGGGAAATGTGGCGTAGAAAGGAGGAGTGAGCTGTCACAGTATAGGGAGAGCAACTATTGTCACATAGCAATGCATGTATAAATTTTTGTAGGAGAAACTGACTTGAATTGTAAACTTTCATTTAAAGCACAATAAAAAAAGAGTAAAATAATTTTGAAGAGAGTATTTTGGTCTTTCAGATTGCAATTAAAAAATTTTTCTTTTCACAGTGAAATGCCTTGAATATTTCTTCATAAGAAATATATGACATATCACTGGAGGTCAAGATTATATCTCTTTAATATTATTAAGCATAGTTCATCTACATGCATTATTGATTTTATATCACTAATAACGATAAAAAAAAACAAAAAAAAAACAAACTCATTGCTGTCGAGTTGATTCTGACTCATAGTGACCCTATGGGACAGCGTAGAATTGCCCCACGGGATTTACAAAAAGTGGCCAGTTGATTTGAACTGCAGACCTTCTGGTTAGCAGCCATAGCTCTTAACCACTGTGCCACCAAGGCCCCAGTTTGCAGGAATATAGTTCTTTTCTTCCTTCTTTCCTTACATAGCATTTAAAAATTAAAGTAATAAGGAAAGAAGGAAGAAAAGAACTATATTCTTGCAAATTATTCAAGACTTGGTTACCTAGAAAGTGCAACACATATTTATGTTAGATTATAAGCAAGTCACATCCTATCTTCTTTACTAAGAATTATTGGTTCAAATCTTCCCCCTTCACTCCATTGTGAATTGAAACTACTCCACTGCGATGGCAATGGAGAATATTAGGTTGTAAATACCCTCATAATCTTTATTTATAAAGTCTCACAATTGGTTCTCTGCCTCTAGTTCCTCTTATTCCAATAAATTACCTATACAGGTGTCAAGTACTTTCAAGTGATCTTTCCATTCCCCTACTGTCTTGGTCATCTAGTGCTGCTATAACAGCGATACCACAAGTGGATGACTTTAACAAAGAGAAATTTATTTTCTCACAGTCTAGTAGGCTACAAGTCCAAATTCAGGGCATCAGCTCCAGGGAAAGGCCTTCTCTCTCTGTCAGCTCCAGAAGAAGGTCCTTTTCATCAGTCTTCCCTTGGTCTGGGAGATTCTCTGTGTAGGAAGCCCAGTCCAAAGAACGCACTCTGCTGCTGGCACTGCTTTCTTGGTGGTATGAGGTCCCCAGCTCTCTGCTTGCTTCCTTTTCCTTTTATCTCTTATAAGATAAAAGGTGCTGCAGGCCACACCCCAGGAAAACTCCCTTTACATTGGATCAGGGATGTGACCTGGGTAAGGGTGGTGTTACAATACCACCCTAATCCTCTTTAACATAAAATTACAATCACAAAATGGAGGACAACCATACAACACTGGGAATCATGGCCTAGCCAAATTGATACATACATTTTGGGGGGACACAATTCAATCCATGACACCTACATAGAAATATGAAATAGATTCCTAACACCTACAGGATAAACATAAACTCCATAGAATAACAGGGAATGTAACAAACTTAACCCAATCCATGTCAGGTTTTTCTGTTTTTAATTAATGTTACTTCATCTACCTTGTAAAATTTGACATTCTCCTTAAGGCACGGTTCAAACGTTATCCATTTGAGTATCTCCCCTCCATTAAGAAAATACTGTGTGCCTACCATACGGGCATTGCTTTAGGTGCTGGGGATATAGTGATGAATATTATAAGCAAAGTCACTGACCTCAAGAAGTTTGCATTCCAGTGATGGAGACAAAGTAATCAAGTAAATGAATAAATAAGGAATATAGCGTTTTGAATTGTTATACACTACAAATAAAAATAAAGCAGATTAAGAAACATGTGGTGAAAGGGGAAAAGATATTTCATGTAGGGTGGTCAGGGAGGGTCTGTCTAAGGAATTAACATTTAAGTACAGAATTATATGATGTGAACATGGAGCTCTATAGACATCTGGAGAGAAGAGTTCTTCAGGTACAGAGGACAACAAATGCAAACATCCACAAGGCAGGAACCAGACTGATGCTTTTGAAAAAGTGTAAGAAAGCCAGTGAGTGAACCATGCAATAGTGATGTGAGAGAAGTTCAGATAATATATTAGGAACCAGATCAAGAACAGTCTTGATCAAGTAGGCCATGGTAAATGCTGTGGATTTTTTAGTAGCTGTGCTAAGAAGCTACTGAAAGATTCTGAGTAAGGGAATACTGATCTGATTTATGTTTTAAAAAGATTATTTTGGCTTCAAGTGGGGAATAGACTGAAGGGGAGTAGGGAAGCAAGGAGACCAATTGAAAGGCTACTGAAGAGGTACAGTGGCTATAGCTAGGCTGGCATCTGCAGAGGTGGTAAGAAGTAGAATAAATGTAGCTATAGAGGCACATTTATTGAGAGATTGAATATAAGATGTGAAAGCAATAGAAGAATAAAAAGATGGCTTCTAGCTTTTTGACCTAAGCAATTGGGTGACTAGGGCTACTTACTAAAATGGGAAAGTCTGCAGAACAAAAAGGTTTTGGAAAAGATAACAAGAATTATTTTTCAGACATAAGTTTGAGATGCTTATTAGGGCATTAGGAAATAGATCATAGAGCTTTTAGAAGGCATGCAAGTGTTATGGATTGAATTGTGTCCCCCAAAAATAAATGTTGTAAATCCTAACCTCCATGCTTATGGTTATAATCCCATTTGAGAACGGGTTGTCTTTGCTATGGTAATGAGACAGGATTAGTGTAGGGTATGTCTTGAGTCAATCTCTTTTGAGACATAAAAGAGATTAAACAAGCAAGCAAGAGAAGCAGAGATGGGTGAAGAGAGATGCCAAGTCACGAAGACTGTCCAGGAGCAGAAGCTTAAAGAGACAAGGACTTTCCTCCAGAGCCGACAGAGATAGAAAGCCTTTCCCTAGAGCTGGCACCCTGAGTTCAGACTTCTAGCCCCCTAACTTCGAGAAAATAAATTTCTGTTTGTTAAAGCCACCCACTTGTGGTATTTCTGTTATAGCAGCACTAGATAACTAGGACAGAATTTGGTTTCCAGAGTAGGGTGCTGCTCTAACAAACACCTAAATGTGGAAATGGTCTTGGAATTGGGTAATGGGTAGAGGCTGGAGGAGTTTGAAGGTGCACTAAGGCTGCTAACCAAAAGGTTGGCAGTTTGAATCCACCAGCTGTTCCTTGGAAACCCTCCGGGGCAGTTCTACTCTGTCTTGTAGGGTCGCTATGAGTTGGAATTGACTCAACGGCAATGGGTTTTTATGGGTGTCTTCAGTCAGACTATTTTAGATATAAAAGAGATCGAACAAGCAAGAGAGAGAAGCAGAGATGGGAGAAGAGAGATGCCAAGCCACATGAAGATCGCCCAAAAGTAGAAGCTAAAATAAACAAGGACCTGCCTCCGGAGCCGACAGAGAGAGCAAGCCTTCCCTTAGAGCCAGCACGCTGAATTTGGACTTCTAGCCTCCTAAACTATGAGAATATAAATTTCTGTTTGTTAAAGCCACCCATTAGTAGTATTTCTGTTATAGTAGCACTAGATAACTAAGACAGCAAACATAAGTCTGACACAAACAGCCTCTGATGGTTTTGAAACTGATGAACTTAGGGAGTGAACAGAGACAGAGTGGAAAAGTAGCTTGGGCACTATGATATTTAGAAGGTGGGAAGAAAACTAAAGTTAAGAACACTCAGAAGGAGAAGTCTGTAAGGTAAGAGAAAAACTTGAAGGACATGGTGTCATAGAAGCAGAGGTATAGCGGGACGCCAAATCTCTGAAAACAAAACGCCTTGGTTTGTAGTGCCTGCTGATTTTTGTGGTGGGAATACTCCCAGTATGGCTGATTTCAAGCCATTCACAAAATTCCTAAACAATTAATGGTCATCTGTCACAAGGCCATATGAGCTGGCTCTAGCACACCACTGCATAGAAGTCAAACGAAGAAAATGATTCAAGGAAGAGGGAGTTAGAGATTAAGTAAAAATGAGAGCTGAAAATTGACTATTGGGGTTTGCTAAGGAGAAAATTCGTGGTGACTCTGACAAGAATGGATTCAGTAGAATGATGGTTACGAAAGTCTGTGTGCAATGGGTTACAGCAACAATGGAATATGAGGAAATGGAGACAATAATTGCAAGTGCCTTAGGCATATCTATGCCTTATACCACTTTCTGTATAACATGTATCATCTGACACAGCATATATTTTACTTGTTTTTATGTTTATTGCCTGCCCGTCCCTAACACACACTTGAATATAAGTCCCATGAACACAAAAACTGTTTTTGTTTGTGATGAACAAAAGTTTACCAGTGTACCTCAATAGCTATAACAGTTCCTGTTGAATCTCATATGCACATGCACAGAATTATATACATAGCACACAGTAATGCTGAATGAAACAGTGGGCATGATATCACCTACACATTAGAATAAGAGGTCAAACAAACTGTTCTGGACCAGAGCTTATTTTTCAGAAGAATGAAATTATGAATTTAAAATGTTGTTATTGTTGTTCAATACCATCAAGTCAGCTCCGACTCGTAGCAACCCTACGTACAACAGAATGAAACACTGTCCCGTCCCGCGCCATGCTCACAATCGTCGTTATGCTTGAGCCCACTGCTGCAGCCACTGTGTCAATCCATCTTGTTGAGGGTCTTCTTCTTTTTTCCTGACTCTCTGCTTCACCAAGCATTATGTTCTTCCCCAGGGACTGGTCCCTCCTGATAACATATCCAAAGTATGTGAGATGAAATCTCGCCATCTTTGCTTCTAAGGAGCATGCTGCTGTATTGCTTCCAAGAATAGATTTGTTTGTTCTTCTGGCTTCCATGGTATATTCAATATTCTTTGCCAACACCATCATTCAAAGGCGTCAATTCTTCAGTCTTCTTTATTCATTGTCCAGTTTTTGCATGAATGAATTTAAAATAATTACTTTGTTTTGTCTTTAAATTAAGGAAACACTGCAGGGCCACGAGTTACAGTCTATGAAATTTGGGTTGTTTATTTACATCAGTGGTAGGAAGAAGGAAGTGCTTTTGATGAAGTACTTGGTGAAAAAGGAAAGCAGTACTTTATTTTCCCCAGGTATGTGTGTGTGTGTGTGTGTGTGTGTGTGTGTGTGTGTATGTTTGTGTATGTGTGTTTTCTATCTGAAGGCAGCGTTTGATTGTGGAAAGTAACTACAACTTTGGAAAAATACACACATATAGATTTTTTTTTTCTCTGTTACCAGACTCAATCCCTAGGCCTCCTCTCTGTCTGCAACTCTGCCCCTCTTCTACTTAGGCTTCTAGGCTCTTCCATACTATGAAATTGTCTCTGAATAATACAGCATCTGGTGATGTCTCTTTTCTCTAAAGTTCCATGTCATTAATTGTGACTTATGATAGCTCCCAAAAGAAATCGTAAGCTCTCTGAGGAGTTTCTTTGTCTCACAGTATACCCAAGACATGGAAGTCACTTAATAAATATTTACTGATTAAATAAATACATGAATAAAAAATAAAGTGCAGGTTACCTAAAGTTTTCTTTTTAATAAGTCTCTACACTTTTATCAGGTCTTTCTGGGAGGGTCTCTGAGTTTACTCTAAATGGCCAAACATTTAGGCTATATCCTGCTCTATCCCTAACAGCAATTTTCAAATTTTATAAGGATAGATAAGGCAGTAAAAAAAAAAAAAAGAAACAGTACAGGACTTTAAAAGACATATGAAACAAATAATGATATAACGAAGGATCACTGACTTAGGCACACAGACATGGAGTTGATTTATAAAATCTCCTGTTGCTTTTCCAGAATATAAACACTGTACAAAATGAGATCTTCCTATATAATAGTATGAGTCTCTATTTTTTCCACATAGATGTTTTAAGTCATATGATGAAACATACAAAGACTAGGCTTAAATGTTTAAAGGGATGAAAGCATATTAAACCTATACTTACTGTCTTCAATGTCCCAGCACTGGGTGATTGGGTCCCCATACTTCACATCCTGGCGTCTAGCTCGCCTACAGAAAGAGATTAAACTGTTTAGAACTTTAAGCATGGTATTTGTAGTGTAGAAAGTTTACATATAACATTAATAACAGTGACAGATGCAAAACTATGCTTGTCTTACTGATCAACTTAAAAAAAGGTCTCCACTCCAATTCAACATTAATAAAAATGCTACTAGTATTAGGGTCCTAATAGAACAATCATGTTTTGACAATAAGATGAGCTGAATTTTATTTAAGTACTACTGTTTTCTTTTTTATGACTTTTGACAAATTATTCAACAGAACAGGTTGAATATAAATATAACTTGCTTTTAACAGACATCAAATGAGGGTAACTAACCCTCCACTCTTTTTCAGTCAGTCATTGGAAAGTAGTAAGATGTAAAATAGCTTTAGCTAGTTAAGGAGGAAAGTGCACACACATACAAAGCACCTTATCATACGGATATTCATTGTTACACAGATTTGATTAAGCAGCAAATTAAATATTGTCTCTTGAAACAGAACTACAAGTTAATATGGCATTAATGACCACATGCTATTTCTACCTTCTGATATGTAGACACATTTTTTTCTGTGTAGTGTAGTGATAATAAAATAATGACTTTGTGCATCATTGTCATATATTTTCCTTAAGAGAAAACAGCAACTACTGTACAAAGAAAGAAAAAAATCTATTCATTTTAGTTTAACAAGTCTTATACTCTTACAGTACATTTTCATTTGCTTTGCCTATTTTATGTTGCCATCTCAGAGATCATAGAAGTAACAGTAAACCTTTTGCAAGGTTGTTGCTTAAGGGTGATGCTGACTGGATGACAACCTTCTACAAGACTGATCCATCTTACACATCTTTTTAGCTCACATGGACATTATGTTAGGTAAGGCAAAGCATCACAGTGGCATGTCTGCAAGCTCAGAGAAAGAGTCTTGGGAAGTACAGGAGGAAAAAAATTATGATGGCATGAGGTACATAAGGTCAAGAATGTTTTTAAATCTTGGCTTTTTAAGGAATGAGGTCAATTCATCAAACTGAAGGTTTATTACCAATTAATGAACATTTTGTTTTTTAGTTTCTAGTAAAGCATTCCCAAAAGACTTACTAGGATGAGTAGCTTCTTGCACAAAAACCATAACAAAATGTTGGTGTCATTTTTACTTTCAACTTGTATTATAGTACCTACCAATTTACATTTAATTCAGAGAATTAAGGAAACTTAAAATGTCTCCTAATTTTATGCAGTATTTCCTGTTGTACTATACGTTCAATCTATGCTCTCCAGACTTTGGAATTTGATAAATTAGTAAAATTTAAAAAAGAAAAAAGTGCATAGGTGGTAGTAGGAATAGCATATGTTTGCCTGCTATCTTATTTTGTTAATAAAGAACTAAACATTTAAAAAATATATATCATCTAAAATTTGCTGAAGTTTTTCCTAGAGGGGGTAAAAAAGAAAATTTGAAAAAATTCTTTAGAAAATGTTGGTTTTGTCATTCAAATTTTTAAAAAACCATATCATAATGTATTTAGCCAGTATCAATCATATTAACAGACATTCAGGTTATTTCTGGTTATTTTGCCACTACAAACAGTGCTGCGATGAATGTCCTTAAACATAAAACATAGTGGTATTTTTGCAAATGTCTACGCAAAATAAATTCCTAGCTAGAATTTGTTGGTTCAGAAAAGTGGTGTTTTTATTTTTTGATAACCAAATCTTTTTTTTTTTTTTTTGTACTTCAGATGAAGGTTTACAGAACAAGTAGTTTCTCATTAAACAGTTAGTACACATACTGTTTTATGACATTAGTTAACAACCCCACGACATGTCAACACTGTCCCTTCTCGACCTTGGGTTCCCTATACCCGCTTTCCTGTCCTCTCCTGCCTTCTGGGCTGTTGTGCCCCATTAGTCTTGTTTTGTTTTATGGGGCTGTCTAATCTTTCGCTGAACGGTGAACCTCAGGAGTGACTTCGTTACTGAGCTAAGAGGGTGCCCAGGGGCCATACCCTCGGGGTTTCTCCAGTCTCTGTCAGGCCAGTAAGTCTGGTCTTTTTTTTGTGAGTTAGAATTTTGTTCTACATTTTTCTCCAGTTCTGTCTGGGACCTTCTGTTTTGATCCCGGTCAGAGCAGTCATTAGTGGTAGCCAGGCACCATCTAGTTGTACTGGACTCAGTACGGTGGGGGCCTTGGTAGCTGTGGTCCATTAGTCTTTTGGACTAATCTTTCCCTTGTATCCTGTTCTCTTCATTCTCCCTCCCTCCTGACAGGGTGAGACCAGTGGAGTATCTTAGATGGCTGCTCACAGGCTTTTAAGACCCCAGACGCCACTCACTGAGGTAGAATGTAGAACATCTTTATAACCTATGTTATGCCAATTGAGCTAGATGTTCCCCTAGACCATGGTCCCCACAGCCCTTTGCCCAGCAACTTGGTCCCTCAGGGAGTTTGGATGTGTCTATGGAGTTTCCGTGACCTTTCCTTGTACAAGTTGTGCTAGCTTCCCCAGTATTGTGTACTGCCTTGCGCTTCAGAACAGCGGTATTTTTACAAACAGCAGGGCAACAGTTTGTTGTTAAGTTCATCTGAGTGGCTAAATTTGCTCAAGTAGGAGTTATTAGCATAAAAATAAACATTTACTGAGAATCACTGGGACGTGCTGTGATATAAAAATATACCACATTTTTACACACACAAGAATTTACGCATTATTTGCAAAACAGTTTATGAGTACGTACATATTTGGAAATGAGGAAGGGATGAAGGAATGTAGAAAGAGTAAAATAAAAAGGCAAAACAAAATTTTAGCGATGTTTGATATACTCAAAGGAAAAAGAACACGACTTATCAGAATTCTTTAAAGTCCAGATTTCAGAATTTCAGAACATTCAATTTTATCCTCCTTCAAAATTCACTTTTATATAAAGGGATAAAATAACAGTTTAATTTTAATATTCTTATAACAGACCATATTTTCTATATACTTATTCTTTAATTCACATTATAAAGTAGGCCATTTGTGTGAGATGTTCATGGTGTAGAAAGGAAGGCTTCATAATACTGCAATGTTCCTCTTACCTTTTTGAAGTGGGTGCATATCGAGAGCATGCATTTCCATCCCAGGCACAGTAGGGGTCTCTGGCAAGACAGCAGTCTGCACAAGCTTTCCCATAAGTGTCACATCTGTGCAAGGAGAGCTGAACCAATCCATCTCGGGAACCAATGTACAATTGTTGCTGCAAACCAGCAAAACAAATGAATTAGAAGCATCTTTCGGAGGAGTCTTAAGAGCTTCCCTTTCTTGAATACCACCTCATAGGTCTAAATCTGTCTTGCCAGCTGTCCTGACCATTATAAAAACTTGTACAGATACATAACAAGTAGCAAAATAAGTCAATCCCTTCTACCCCTGGCAGGACGGTGGGTTGAAGATGATGATACTAAAGTGGATAACATTCTACAGAGCTAGAGTAACCCTGGCAGTAATTTAAGAAGGTCAAAAACCAGCTGCTAGATTGAGGAATTGAGATGTCAAATTCTTTCTCAATAGTTGAAAATATACTTTGGTAGACTATATCAAGCACAGATGCTAAAGGCAAAACTGATGGTCTTTCTCCTCCATAGCTCTGTTCATGAGAGATGACTGTGGTTTTAACTAACCATTTCACTTGGTAATGAGGTGCTGATACCTGAAGGGGGAAAGGGTTGTAATTGGGAGAGAATGAATTTGGTATCACTGTGAAGAAAGTATCAAGGAGGTTTGAGGGATGCCATACTCAAGTGAAATCCTGCAGAATACTGAAATATCTAGCAAATAAAATTGTTTCAAAACTAAGCCCTGAAACTGATGCACTATTCCCTGTATGTATTCATTTGAGTGAGAGTGTGTGGGTGGAGGATACAGGTCAATAATCCTTAGTCTATGTCTTTAAAAAGCTCATGGCTAATTCTAGTAAACCATGCCAAGCTTTAAATGGAGGAAAAACATTTTACAAATAGATATTGGCATAACTAATATAGATTCACTCAAAAGGGATCTGACTTAGACCTCTACCATCCATTAAACTCTCAGTTAAGATTTCATAGTTGCTAAATGCAATGAACACTTTTTATTATTTATTCTACTTACTTTATCTATAGAGTTTGATGCTATTAACTACACCTTCCTTGAACTCTCTTTATTTTCCCTTGTTTTTTATCCCTGCCTGAGACATCTGTTCCTTTGATAATTGCTTTTTGCATCAAATGTTGGGTTTCCCTCTTTCCTGCTCTTTTCTTTACCCCTGTTATCGTAAAAAGACTCAGAAGTATCTTGGAAACAACATATCCAAACTTAAGCACATTGATTCCTTTAAATATATTTCTCCTTCCCTATGTTGGTGAGAAGCACATTCATCCACCCACTCAGTCATCCAAGACAGAAGTATGGGAGTTGTCTTTGAATCTCTTTCTCTCACATTCAATCTGTCACCATGTCTTTTCCATTCTCTCTCTTATAGAACTCTCTAATCTGTTTCCTCCTGTCGCTTCCCACTGCCACTACCTTTGTTTAGGTCCTTATCATTTCTTTCCTGGATTACTTGTAAGTGTCCTAAATATTTTCCCTGGCTTCAGCCTTGTTTTCCAGCAATCCCCACCTCCTCCCCCAGGACCCAATCCATCTTCTACACTGTCACCAGACTGATTTTCTAAAAGGAAAATCTTATCATAACACTCTCCTGCTTAAAATCTTTAATGGTTTCTATTGTCCTTTAGATAAAATTTAAACTTCTTCAGAGGACATATAAGGATATGTGTAATTGCTCCAGCATACTTCTCCAGATTCATTTTTATCCTCCTTCCCCATAAGCACGCTAATTGCACACAAACTGATTAGAATTAGCTGTGGTCTATCACTCTTCACACATTTGCAAATGTTCTCTCCTTCTACTTGGCCTAGGTTCCCCATCCCATCCTGCTTTTTATTTTTCTGGATAACTACAACATCTTTCATGGCTCAGATTACCTGTCTCAGCCACTGTCCCCTGCTCTTCCTCCTCCCCCCACCCCATTTTAGGCAAGTTTTTCTCCTTTATCTTCCTTGTACATTCTGCCTTTATTATTCTGCACTATTAGCATGCTTCTTTGTCTCCCAGTTCCACCATGATCTTCTGGAGACTAAGTGCCACGCCATTCACTCATTTATGTATTTTCAAAACACAACAGTAGGCTTTCAAGAAATAAATGTTGAAACAATGAACAAATGAGTGGAAGCTGAAAACTGGTGGGTGATCACCTGGCTAAATAACAAAGAAGACACACGTGCAAGTCTGTGTTTATGTATGTACATGGGTAAAGATTTCTAGGCTGACTCATGAGTTCCATTCTACTTCGGAGCTAGATAAATGTCCCAAAGAAGAAACCTGTTTAGATCTTTTCCCTAATAATTGCTGTGTGGTACAAGGCAGAGTAGATTAAGATAATTTTAGCAACACCTTAAAGTGAACATACGATCACATGACATTAAATCTTGGGGGTGTATATAGAAACAGTAATGCAATTCTGAATCTCTTTGATTGAGATTTGCAGTATCATACCAGGAAACATGAAATAATATTAATTATTATTATCATTATTATAATAGTTATCATTTACTTAACATTTATAATTTGCCAGGTCTCTGCTTAGAACCTTGCCTATGGCAGGCATCCTATTTAAACTCATAACACTCTCCACCCTTCATGGGTGAATTATTATTATTATTATTTTACTTTTTGTTGATGCCATGTTTTTTCACTAATGGAATGGATGCTGAATCATTGTTTGTTGGTAGTTTTTATAATCTGAAAAAATAGTTGCCAATTACAAGTGAGATGTATCAGTTGCATGAAGTTCCATATCATGTTCCATGAAACACATCACACACACGGGATGTATCGGTCCCATGGCGCATCACACTTCCTGGTTACACTTAGCCATAAAATATCTTACTTAACCTTCCAAAAATACACATGAAATACTAAATAAACATTGCTCTTACTACACGTAATTGTTATCAGTTTGACCTAAAGTGGGCCGTATCAGTAGGTACCACGTTCCATGAAGCACATCACATTTGTGGGACACATTGGTCCTATGGCCCAGGAACTGCATCACAAACTGTTTTCACCCAAAAAATAACTCATTTACTTGAATATTTCCGAATGCCAGTAATCGTACCTTCCCAGTAATCCAAAGGAAATAGTAAACATACTTGCAAGCCTTATCTCACTGTACAGAAGCCAAAAGACACAAAAGTTTCATACAATCACCCCTCTGGGAAGCATCCCCTCAGACGAATGGCTCTCAACACTCAAATGTGGCGCAGACTAACCTCCTTGTTTTTTAGGTAGTTGCACCGGTATCTGCCACGATGCCAGAATGTATTAAAATGGCTCAAATGCCTGCCAATAAACCTTCATGGGTGAAAAAATGTAACATGGGCATATATCCCTTGGTCCATCAAAAGGTTGAGGCGGTAATTTTTTTCTAATTTTACTGCCGAGGAAATTGATTCTGGTAATCAGATATTAAGTGGTGGCACATGATATTGATTCCAGGGTTGTTTGCCACATCAGTCCATATTATAACTCCTAGACTTCATGATTAAAAACAAAACATTTTTAATGACTAGGGATGATATTCTACATGGATTTCTATGGCTTTGACAGAAAAAACATCCTCTCAAAACTAGGAAAGTCTGAGTTGCATTTTCAAAGGCCAAAGGAAGGAAAAAAAATGAATTATTCAATTAATGAAATTCAGTTCCATATCTCCTACAATAAATCTGAAACAATGGTCTCTAACCAATGAAAATGAAACAAGTAAATTAAAGCTTTTTATATCATTTATAATTTAACTTTCAATTTCAATAGATTTTCCCTAAAAATAACTTTGATTCAAGAAACCTGTTATTTGTTGGTTATTCTTTACACAAAAATTAGAAATTACCTGCTTCAGAGACAACTCCATGTTCAAGATGATTGATGAGTGCTAAAAATAGAAGTAAAATGTCAATAAAGATAATCATTAACAGATTTTTACCTTAAACAATATGTTGTTTTATCATGTACAAAATATCATTAAAGTAAATTTCAAGGCTCTGTAATATAGGGGCAAAAAGAATCTTACGGTTTTCTATTTTCTTCCAATGTGTAGTGATTCCACCTTAATGGAAATTATCAAAATAGGTACTTTAAAGTATCCTATTAAGGAAAAATAAGCTAAATGTATGAGGAAACATTGCAATAAAAAAATTTCTCAGCTGCCTACAAGGTTTCTTCTTTTTCTAAATCTGCTTAACTGCTTCCATATAATTTAAACTAGCATTGATAAGAACATCTCCAGAATTATTTATTACCTTTCTGCTATTACTTAGATCAATGACTTAAAAACTTGTTTAAGTAGCAGAGTTCTGAAACGTTACAGTGCTCCTTGTGGAAGACTAAGTTCTTTACGGAACAATACAAGATACCAATGCACATGATTTCATGATATGAACTAGGGTCAATTTCATCTGTAGAAAATACGGCTCTATGAATATACAATCAGAAGCATGAACACAAAAGCTTCCAAACTAAAAAAGATGAGATATTTTTAAGAATGTTCATCTATATCTATCTAGCTATCATCTATCTATTGTTCGCTATTTATTCATTTCTCACTAATAGAAAACTAGTAGCAGATGCTAACGATTTAAGAAAAATATATAAAATAAAAATTTTAATGTGAGAAAGTGCTATCAGTAACTTTTTTTTGTTATGAACTTAAAAAAATGGTCATTATTGAATCTTAACAGTGGAATCTAAACATTCCTCTTGACCACTGTCTAAAAACCATTGAACAAGATTCTTTCTAGTTTGCCCATCTGTGTTGTGGAGGCTTTATTTTTGGCCTCTAGGTTCACATTTCCCTTAGGAACCACACAAAATTTTGTTTTTTAGTAGATGGCAGAGATCAGGTCTTGTTCTTGTTAACTCCTTGACCACTATTATCGTCACAATGTAAACAGGATCCTGTGGAACCAGAAAGTCAATTAACTTAAGCTCCTAACAGTGGAGGGCTGGACTCTCCTTTAAGGCAAAAGAGGTTTAAATGGAAACAGTTCATTTTAAAAATAAGCTGTCCCACTAAAAAAGTTATAAAAGACACAGCATATTTCTTAAAAGCTCATTTCTAAGAAACACCTATTTCTCACGTTATTTTCAGAATATAATTTTAATTTAAATTTCATTGAGGAACTACAATGAATGTCACAATTCAAATTTACTGTAAAAAGTCCAAGAAATTCCTGAAACCTGAAAACCTATTATTTTTGATCTATTAACTCTTGCGGAGAGTTAATAGCGATATAGGAAGACTTACTGTTAGGCAACTCCTCCTCTTTTTTTTTTTTTTTCATTTCCTTAGAGAAAGGCAGGGATACTTGATTTACATACACTTTCTTTTTTCTCAGGTTCAATTGGGGAAATACTGAAAACTAAAATTTATAAAGTAGAAAAGCATCTGGATAGTAAAAGAGACCTCAGGCTTTCATCTAATGTGGCAATTTTTCTGACGATATGCTTAGAGAATGCAGTTAAGGAGGAGCAATCCAAGGAGCTCCTAATTCAGTGCACCTCATTTAGGAGAAGGTGGGTCCCACTCTTATTTGCTTTTCTCTGACTCTGTTTCCCTCCCCCCGCCCCCCGCATTGCTTAGGAAGAAAAAAAATAAAGTCACTAATCTCAAAAACTTCTTCAGTAAAAGAGTGATGATGTATGAAAACAAGTAAGTCCATCTCTTCTCCCATAACTCTGGACTGAGCCTCACCTTGAATATCTGCAACTCCTCCAGCACTACCTCTTCCATATTCCACTTCTCCTTTGAAATGCTGACGACTTTCAAGACTGTTCCAATGTCTGAAAAAATGCATAACCCGTAAACCTGCTGTGTCTATCTCAGTATTTAAGTATATTTCTAACAATCTATGGATTGCTCCCTTCACTTTTTTTAAAATGCCTTTCAAGAAATCAGAGTAAATAAAACATACAAGAAATACAGCTTAATGTATATGATGTTTTCCTTCCTAAATATTGTAGTTTTTAGCTAATGAAACACTTTTTTATAAAGATACTATTAGAAGGTATATACACAAAGTATATTCCTAGAAATATGCTCTCATTTAAATACTAAATATGTCTCATTTAAATATTGGCTGAAATGATAAGTGAAACAAAATTTTTGGAACTTAATTAAAATATCAAATTCTGTCTCTATATATGTATACATATACATATGGAGCCCTGGTGGTACAGTGGTTAAGTGCTGGGCTGCAAACCAAAAGGTTAGCAGTTCAAATCCACCAGGGGCTCCTTGGAAACCCTGTGGGGCAGTTCTACTCAGTCCTATAGGGTCGCTATGAGTCGGAATCGACTCAACAGCAACGGGTTTGGTTATACATATATATGTAAACGAACATTATTCAATCCAAGAAATATTTATTAAGTACTTATTATATTCAAGTCACCATAAAAGGTAATTATAATTGCCTTTTCTGATAATGCTTTTCTAACATGTAACAAATGAAAGAGAAATCCTTGACAATATCTACATGGAGGAAACTGTGGCTCACTTATCAAATATGCTTTACTTATAGAAAAATTTTATTAGGCTGGAAAGTGAAGTTTTGTTCAAAATTATTTTAGTTCAACTTAAAAGAAAATAACAAGGATGAAAATGTAAACCCAAAGTTGATGTTCAGAAAAGATCTTAAATACAGCATCTTATGTTGCAATTCCACAAAGTTGCAGGCAACTTCAGAAAGACAATCAAAATAACATTTAGGAAAAAAAAATTCCACTTGGAAATTAATTTACACAAAATAGATGTTTTTAAACTTGTGAACACTGGTATTGGAGTATATTAACATATGCGGTAATGATCTTGTTGGCACAAAATAGTTAGATTATTTAACTTTTTTGAAATGGCTCTGGGCTGTTTAAAAAATATTAAACATACATTTTCCAAATGTCAAAATTAAAAATCTATCTTTTATTGCTATAATTTTCTCAGTACAAGCTAAGCAGTACCACCTAGTGGCTGAACAGCATTTCTAACACTAACCTAAAACCCAGGAATGAGTTTTGGGTGGGCAATGTGGGAAACTCACTAGAATTAGTGACAAGCTAATTAGTTCATGTTTTGACTCCTCAGTAGCCATCTCTGTAGCTTTGGGAACATCGCTTATTCTCTTGGGCCTAGGAATTGTCATGTGTAACATGATAGGAGTTGACAACTGGTGTTCTCTAAGGCCCTTGGGGTCTGTCATACAAATGCTTCCTAAAAAAACTAACTTCTGTGAAACCAACATTCTTTAAAAAAAAATAAGATTATTTTAAAATTTATTTTCACTTCTAAAAACCCATTTCAATAAAAATGGCAGTTTCTTGAAAATCCATTAATTTCTACTTCTTTATGCAATGCTCGATCCACTAAATTTACGCAATATTACCTAGAATGCAGTGCTTTTGTTTTAACGATACATGTTCTCTACACAACCATTGGAATCCACATAACATTATTAGATAACACCTTTCTTATATTTGAAACTCACCAAATAAGGAATACTTCTCTTTCTGGAACAAAACATTTTTTAAAATCATTTTATAATGACTGAGTTTACAGAAAAAACAAAACAAAAAAGCAAAAACAAAAGCAAAATACAGACTGAAATAATGAGAGCGATACTAATCCACAAAACTCAAGAACAGGGAAAAATAATCCCCAAGAAATTTCTACCTAGAGAGCTTTACAATATCATGCTTAACTTTTTAAAAAGTTATCTTAAGTCAGCTGAGTCAGTGATTCTCAAAATTGGGTGAAAGGATCCTTTGGGGGTACCAAAAAAACCAAATCAAAGCCATTGCCGTCAAGTCGATTCTGACTCATAGCGACCCTACAGGGGTAAGGCTTATCAAATATTTCTGTACAGACAGGCAAATGTGAAATTTGAAAATAAAGGAACCATGTCGTACTTGCTTAATCTTAGTCCATAGTCATTAAAAAAAATATGTATTGAGCACCTAATCTATGGTAGACACATTTCAGTCATAATATACAAATATGTTTTCAAATCTCAAATAACAGTAAAGGAAGGCTGGGGGAGATTTTTGATTATCGGTTAAGAGTGTATGCTATGCAATTTTAAGAAACATTGACTAGGTGTTAGCAACTAATTATTCATTTTTACTTTGATCAATTAGTATTTTTGAATTTTTTTTCTTTGTTAATATAAAATTATGCTTTGAAAGAAAGTGTATATAATTTAGAATCAGTTTGGTTTGCGCTTACCTGTTCCAAGAAACATTACGTCATACTGGCCATCTTCTGCAATGACGTGATCCACCACTATCTGTGTCAGTCTGTAGTCCACATTGATTCTCTTGAATGTTGGTCCTCCTGCTACTGGGTATACTGACTTATACATTACAGGGTGCCGCTTTATGAAACTGATGACATCGTCGGGAAAATCTCGGGTGGATTTAATCAGTGGGTCATAAGTCTTGCTTGGACACTGAAAAGAAATCGTGGAGGGAAGCAAAGGCTTTTTTCGTGCGCACTTGCAATTAAGTTTTTAAGGCTAATCATTGATAACAGAAAATAAATGGGCAAATATAACACAGTCAGTATGCAATCACAGGTACTTGTAAATGAATGCAGTGTACCTACAATAGATTTAAATTCAGCTTATCTCTCACAAATATCCTAAATTATATTTTTTATCCGTTTTTGCTAAAGTTTCCACAGTGAACTTGGATTACTGTTTCTCGTGAAGATACATAAAATTTCAGTTGAAATAATTGTTAAGAAACTGATCTGTAAATATGGAAACATATGGAAAACTGTTATTTTCCATTTCCTTTGGATAAATTTAAAATTGACTTTTTAAATTAAAATCGTGTTCATTAAAAATTTAAAAAAGAGCAAATCAACAGAAGGTCACAGAAATTACATTTAAAAAACCATTAATATTTTGAGATTGTAATTACCTAGTTATTTATAACAGGTGTGAAAATTATATTGTGAACAACTCAACAGCTCTTCCCCTAAAGGATCTGTGAAGAAACCCTCAGGGATTTTCTACTTCGGTCTAAAATTGCCTCTTTTCAGATTTTAGCATCCACGAAATCAAGCGTTAGCATACTCTGCCCCCTGGCGGTAATAAGCAAAAAATACTAACTCGTACAAAGTAAATTAATGTGATATGGCTATTATCAAGAGAACATGAAAAAAGAGGGAAATTATTTTATAATTTGATTCTGTTTCTTCAAAGAACACTCCACATTCTAAATCTATTTTATAATTTCAACAAATTTTAATGTAGGAAATTACCTCAGAACAAACTTTGTATGACGTCACATTCAAATTCTTAATGGAGCTAATAACATTCTTTCGGAGATAAAAAACTTTGATTATATGATGCAGGCATAGAGAATAAAGTTTGCAGAAAAGGGTTGTTTTCCTCCTATTGTAGTTTTTTTAGGCAAATTGAAAACATAGTCTCCACTGAATTGAGCCATTTATACTAATTTGAATTGAGTCAAGATACCATTAACATACTGTACTTCTCAAAGTTTTCATGAGGATCATTCTCAGGAAGCTAAAGATTCTGCAATTAGTCACAATACATGACCCCTGATTCCAAATTTTATACTAATAATATCATAACATCTCACTGCACTAGGAAAAATGTCAAAAAAGTTGTCCTAAAAAAATCCATTAATAATTTTCTAGAAATACTTTGAGAGTTATTTTAGTCAGTTATATTATCTTTCACTAAAATCTGGCATGTCTGATATTAAGAAACTGACCCTTTCTTGATATCTGTTTATTTATCCCAGGTCTGCATCAAAGAGTCTAGGAATGTACGAGAATATTAGCCATCCGGTTCTTTTTTTGAACATTTTATTGTGTTTTAGGTGCTAGTTTACATAGCAAGTTACTTTCCCATTCAACAATTCATAAAAAAATTGTTCCGTGACATTGGTTGCTCTCCCTACAATGTGCCAGCAGTCTCCCCATTTCCACCCTGCTGTCCTCGATTCCATCCCTCCAATTTCTCTGCCCCTCCTCGCCAGCTCATCTTTCTTTTGGGCAGATGGTGCCTGTTTGGTCTCTTATAGCTGATTGTTCTAAGGAGCACGTTCCTCATGGGTGTTACTGATTATTTTATAGGCCAATCTATTATTTGACTGAAAGGTGGCCTCTAAGAGAGGCCTCAGATCCAGGTTAAAAGGGTGTCTTAGGGCAATAATCTTGGGGGTTCCTCCAGTCTCTATCAGTCCAGTAAGTCTGGTCTTTTTTTTTTTTTTTTTTTTATGAATTTGAGTTTTGATCTACATTTTTCTCACATTCTAACCATGACCTTCTGTTGTGTTCCTGGTCAGAGCGGTCGGTTGTGGGAGTCAGGCACCATCTAGTTCTTCTGGTCTCAGGCTACAAGGAGGCTGTGGTTCATGTGGGCCATTAGTCCTGTGGACTAATTGCTTCCTTGAGTCTTTGTTTTCCTTCACTTTCCTTTGCTCCAGATAGAAAGAGACCAATAGTTATATCTTAGAAGGCGGCTCGCAAGATTTTAAAACCCTAGATGCTACTCACAAACTAAGATGTAAAACATTATGAACTTTGTTACGTCAATTGACCTAGATGTTCCCTGAGACTATAACCCCTTAGCCTTCAAACCCAGTAACTCAGTCCCAGGAGAGGTTTGGATATGCCTAAGAAGTTTCCATAACTGTGCCTGCCCCCTTATGTGCTCTGTTATATATATGAATATATATGCAGCACATACAAATATGTACAGAGGTGCCCATAACTATACCTATATACGCACGTGCATGTACTCCCATACGACCTCCCACACTTATAGAGCATGCATATCTATCTATGTAACCACTCACAAATTTTTGGTTATTACTGCTGTTGCAGAATTGTATATGTTATAGCA